TGATTTTAAAAGTAAAACTGTGCGTACTACTTTAAAGCAAATGTGTATTTCAGTTTATGGGGTAAAATTATGGAATAGTTTGGATGACGATTTGAAAAAATGTACTACTTTTAATCAATTTAAAATACTTTATAAGGAAAAAATGATTAAGTCTTATACACTTTTAGTTAATGAGGAGAACAATATGTTGTTTGCAGATTTTATTTGTGATTTAATGTATGTGGCCATGAAAAATTTATTGTAATTATTGAGAAAGGAGCAGGTTTATACAAGGTTTTCTTCTTCCTGCTCCCTTTTCACTCATGTATAGTATGTGTTAAACAAAAACGTGTTTGTATGTTATAATGAGGAAAATTGTTGAAGTGAGTGAATAAACTTATTGATTGATTGATATTCTAAAAACAAAACAAATTCAACACACAAAAAAGTACAAATCATAAGTAAAGTTAAAGGTAGCAGAAAGTAGAAAAATAATTCTTATATCTGCCTCTTTTAAAAAAAACATATATATATATAATTTAAATTTAAATAATAATAAGAAGAAGAATAAGAATATTCAAGTAAGAAAACAAAACATCAGTTTTTAAACAGAAGCTCTTATAAATACACTTTATACAATCTCATATTTCTTTAACAAACTAACTTTTGTCATTCTCTTAAACAAAACATTGAAGCAGCACTTTTATAATCACTATATTATTCCACAAACATTGGTTCTTAAAGTTTGTTCAAATTTTAGGTTTACAAACTTTTCTAGTCCCTTAAGATTATAATAACTTTCCCTCTTAACAAAACTTGATTGGACGTTCAAAGGTAACATATTTTATGAGCCTTATATAGTTTTGTTCTACAAAAACATAAAGAATAATTTGTTTGAATAGTGATAAATATTGTTTTAAGAATTGTTAAATGTGAATAATCAATGCTTCTGAATCTGACAATAATGTTTGCATGAAAAAGTAAAAAATAACTTTTTATTCCTGACTTATTTTTAACTGGTTTAAATCTAAAACTAAACATTTTTTGTCTGTTTAAAAGAAAATGGTTTAAAAAACATAACGTTTCTTTATTGATTTATTTCAGTTAAAGTTTAGAGTTTTTAGAGTTTTAGTGCTGTAGAAGGAAAACACTTTGACCTGACTGGATGTGTGTGTGGTGTGTGTTTGTTTGTGTGTCTGTGTGTGTGGTGTGTTTGTGTGTCTGTCTGCAGCTTTGATCAAAGCAGAGCAGTGTCAGAGCGAGGGGGCGTGGCAGGAAGGGGAGGAGTCCAGTTCAGAGCTGGAGGATGAGGAGGCGGAGCAAAGAGAGAACAGTGAAGCTGATGAAGACGAGGAGGAGGAGGGAGAACACAGGCAGGATGAAGATGATGAAGATGATGATGATGATGATGCTCACAACCACATGGTGGGTTCAGTTCAGAGGCTCAGGTGAACCTTCAGGTGTTTTTTATGAATAAATCTCAACTTCAGCTCCATTTCTTTTTATATTTAGTTCAATATTTATTTATTTAGATTTTTTAGTCGGTGGTCCTTTAGCTCATTTGGATCTTTCACCAAAGATCGAAAAAAAAAGCTTTTATTTTGAAATTATTGTCATGCTTCTGATTTTCCTGCATTTATTTAAATCTTACATCCATTAGATTGTGAGCTGAACCAAAAATTATGATGTAATGTTTGTATTTTTTTGCAGACAATAAAAAAATAAACTGATTCCTTCACAACATAAATTCATAAATTCTGGACAGCGGTGGTAGAATCCCACGACTTCACAGAAAACAACTGTGAAGACGTGTTTCTGTGGTTAAACTCTGGTGTGTTTGTGTGTTTTTTCCTCAGGAGAACAGTCATCTTTCATCAGAAGTCGACTCTGTTCAGCCGTGAGGTGAGTTTCTTCTAATAAACGGGTCACAAGCAGCAGAACCAGAGTCCGACACGTTCAGAGATCGTGCTTTTTTTTTTACGTCTCAGCCTCTTAAACACGTCGTAAAACTGAAATGTTCTTTTTCCCTGGTGAGTTAGAAGGCATGTTTCCTTCAGGGTTCTCTCAAATAAGAATAATAAGATTTTATGTGAAGAAAGAAGCAGATTTATGATCTTTGTGGAAGTTAAATGAATGTTTTAGTGAAGATGAATAAATTAAGCTTTGCAGTGTTAACGAGCCTCCGACTTGTTCATCTTCTCTGCAGATCCAGACTTTTTCTAATCACAACTAGAGACCACATAGCTGTAGCATATTTGCATGTACGACACCCGCTTCGGATGTTATCATCCATGAAATGGACGTTATTAGACGTTATCAGTCCCATAGAATGTCTTCTGATTGTCAGCTGGTCAATATGAGGCTTAAAGCCACCAAGGTTAACGTTTGAGCAGATGACATGGTTAGGGCTAACCTCCGACAAATGTATATTGTGGCCTTTCAGGGCAATGGGTAAAGTCAGACCAGAGAGCAGGAGACCAGGGCTCAAGTCCGACACAGACACAAAAAATTTATTACAAAATGTTTTGGTTATTTACACATTCATTGTCATTGATATATTAACCCACTAGGGGGCACTGTCGGGACAGTCTGAAGTCTAGAAGGCACAGTAGGGACCCTCTGAAGCCATTGTATGGGACTGATAACGCCTAATAACGTCCATTTCATGGACTGATAACATCAGAATCCCCTGTGTCCACAAAGCACCAATGCACCAGAACAGATTTATTGTTTTCAGATGGAGCCCCCTCCTTAAAAATGGGGTCTATCATAAAACCGTTGGTTGGCACAGTGTAGGTCAGACACATCTGCCTTCCTACCAAAGTTCCTGCTGCGTGGTGTGTCCCAAAATTCTATTGTTTTGGGTGGGAGTCTGCAGGGGTGAGGGGCTCATTGGTGGGTTCGATGGACAGCCAGAAGGAATCAAAAACAAATCTGAAGCCCCTACGTTGTATAGTTTTTGAGTTATACGCATTTTGTCCAGACACCCCCTTTTCAGATGGAGCCCCCTCCACAAATATGGGGTCTATCTTAAAACTACTGGCTGGTGCAGTGCAGGACATTAGGAGAAAAATATGACCCCCGCTTTGCTAAACTGTTCTGTTCTCAGTTTTTCTCTTCTAATTAATCTGAATTTATTTTGTGTTTTATCTTTTATAACAAAGCTCCTTCGTTTAATTTAAATTTTGTCCAAAAATCAAGGGAAAGAAAATAACCGTGAGAATTTTTACTCCCTCGAAACGTCCCTTTAAGTCGAGTCATGATCGGAATCAGACAGAATTAATCCTAATTGGGCGGAAAATTCGACCAACGTGGACTTGATCTCTTTTTAAATGCTGGGAGGAAATTTGTAATTTGTTTGGCTCAGGATGCAGAGTTCTAAAAACACAGCCCACTCCTGTGCGGACCCTCGCAGGCAGATTCAGACCCGACCACAGGATCGCCTCTGTAAATACACAGTTAGCTGAAAACAATCCTCGGCTCAACTTTTGATTGAGCGCAGATTTGTTCAGATTAGAGTTCGGGGGTTTGTTTTATCAGGCATGAGGAGCAAGACGGAAAAAAAAAACAAAAGCACCGCCGCCTGACTTACCTGTCTCCTGTGTTTGGATCAGATCAGAATCTGTTGAGGAGACGGAGCGAAGGAGGAGACGGACAGTTGTGGATGTCGGCGCAGGAAGGCCATCAAACAGCGGGGATCCAGTGAAACACACACGCCAACAGACAGAACTCACAGAAACACGCAGAGGAGAGCAACCCGACACTTGGCCCGAGCCGCAGGAAGGCCGTAAAGCAGCAGGGAACTGCCAGAACACATCATTAGCAGATGAGTTGTGTTTTACAGGCACAGGAACACACTTTAAACAGAACCAAAAACAGAACTCGCCAAAGGAGGTCGATCCCGCTCCGTGTCGGCGCCACATGGAGACGGTAAAACTAAAAAAGAAAAAAACAGCAGGACTTTGTCAGAAACTGGTTTCATGCTCGTGAAATATCCCCTCGTGCGACAGCGGCCATGTTTGGACGTCCTCGTCTCGTCTCAGGACTTTAAACTGGATCCAAGTTTCTCGTCCCTGAACCAGAACCCATACAAATAAACCCAGACAGGTGACAGGTGTGGTCCGAGGTGCAACCAGTGTCGTGTTTGTGTGTTTATTTATTGTGTGGTTATATGCAGGGGTTATCACAGGGCAGTAAATGTTTACAGCTTCCAAAGGTTGATATTTGTTCAAAACTGAATTTATGTTTTAAAGGGAGCCAGGATTAGTTTTAACATTAGACTTTATTTGATAAACATTTATTTTAACTGTAAAATAAAGACTGTAAAAATACTGTAGGATGTTTAG